TGTCACAGGTATCATATCCTGTATTCAACATTGCTTGTGCACCTTTGTTTGACTGTAATGGAGAATGCTGCCTTGCTCCATCTTTTCCCAGCATCTTGAGTTTATTGAGTATTATATCTAAGTCTGTGAAGAGCATCATATGTTAAACCATCAGTGTATTGTAATGGTATCAGGATTGCTATAGTAAAAAGCTCAGAGCTGTTTAACCACAGCACACAAACATCAGTGAGAGTATATGCTGTGGACTCTTCAGTGGGCTTTGCGAACACCAAAAAGTTCTCGGAGCAGATAGGCATTTTCCCAAAAGGCAGCAGAAAATTTAAACAATCTTGGTATTTTGCTATCTGATAATACTAGCAATCCAACAAGTAAAAAGCAGTGTGTTTCATACTCTAATGCTATCATCGTGCCCGTCTCCTGTGTTGTATTCAGAAATTCTCACTTCCACCAAGCAGGTACAATCCCATTTTGCCCATCCTCCTGGGTCTCAAGTGCTGTCAGTGGTCCCCACTGCTGCATTTCACTGGTGAAGAGACAAAGCAGCGCTGTTCCTTGTAGCTGCATCTCCTGTCCCTTTACCTCTCCTTGGACTTGCAAACTACAAAAAACTGGAATGCATCTCAGTCCATCCACAGCAAGCCTGCAGGACTGACAAAGTTAGGAACACAAATCATAAAATACCAGGTTAGAAGGGATTGCAAGGATGATCTAGTCCAACCTGTCTTGGTAAGAGCATGGTCTTCACATGATTCTAGCACTCTGCCCAGCTGAACCTTAAAGGTGTCAAACACTGGAGAATCCACCAATGGCTGCTGTCCTTGTAAAATAATTTCCTCTTCTGTCTAATCAGAATCTTCCCAGGAATACCTTGTATCCATCTTCTCTTGAGATAGCCATCCCTTGAGACGGCACCCACCGGTAGGCACCCACTGAGGTAATCTGGTCTGAGACTTGTACTCAGCTGGCCTACAAGACTGTGCAAACTTTTTATATAATGGATTTAACTAAGAAGTCAAAGGTATTTTGTTTTGCTTACAAGCTTTAAGTACATTCAAGATCGTAAGACACTTGGACTTTGTGATCATATTTGAGTACACTCAGCATTGTTCTGCTCGAGCGCTCTACAGTCTTGAATGCGGCCATCCACAAGTTACATTCTATCGGGGTACTCCTGTTAACCACATTTCACTGACAGGAAGCTGAGGGACAAAGATTCTGAACAAGAGCATCACTTGAGCGAAAGAGTAGCTTTCTTTATGGGTAGCTGGGGAATGCAAAAGGCTAAGCTACAACCATACATGCTATGCATGTGAAAATGGGGAGAAACATACTCGACAGAGACAGACCCAAGCAGCCAAGCTAGTTACTGTGGGTGTGATGAAAAGATGGGGATTTATTGACCAGTACTTTCCCCTCTGCATCAGGCAGGTATATTGTCTCTGGCTACCAGGGATTTTCTTTTTTGCTGGTGGTGTTGCTTGAAACAGAACAAAGAAAATAAGGCAATGGTGTTTTCTTTTATGGAATAACATAAAAAAAATATTACGATGAAAACCTAGTTAATCACAGTCTATATATTGATACAACACTTCAGGTGATGGTGATATTTTGTGGATTTGGCTGCAAGGATCTTGCCCAAATTTGCACAAATCATCATCAGTGAAAGAAACATCTCAAAGCCAGGTGTTCCAAATGAGTGCCCTCACTATCAAAACATTTCTCTTCCATTTGCTTGGATGGAGTCAGATATATTTAAACCAGACTTAAATAATGTCACACTTGCACACCCTTGTTTAGACCTGAAGTCTTGCTTGTTGCCTTTCTGTACCAAGACAGACCTGTGCCACGTGGCCATCCTAGAAGAGAGAATTTGTCTATGAAAGTAGAACAGTGCAGAAGGGGGCAGGACAGAACCTTAGAGGAAAAGAATAAGAAATTCAAATTAGGCTGAAGGGAAAAATTTCCAACAGAGAAATTAACAAGTCTGCTTAAGATAACAGGGAGATATGGTAAACCAAATCTTCAAGGACCAAGATAATTTCAATTTTCTTCACTTAAAATCCCAGCTAAGTCTCCGATGAACTTATTGTCAATACAGCATGGGCTTGACAATATTGCTCTAGTTTAGGGTTGTCTCCTCTTCCTGGTTCATGTAAACTCCAAAGTAATTTTGGTAATCTTCTCAGTACAGGGTTCAAACTCTGCCATTATTGTTTATTTTCTTTTAGTCCAGATCAGTATACATTTCCTACTCTGTCTCAGAAACAAAGCTGAAGATCTGCTTCATTTGTTGCCTTTCAGGGAAAGAATCAAAATTGTCTCATCACTAAGGTTATGTGGGAGAAGTCCCACAAGGGCATGCACGTAATGGCCTTGTGGCTGCCTCTGCAGTCTGCCCCCATGTTAAAAATAAGACAAGGAATTTGCCATGGAAATTAACATGCAGTAACATCTCAGAATTGATATCAATGTTTGAACTGTTGATTAGCCATAGGATAACAAACTGTGCTCTCTCCATCACAAATCTACCATGTTTTACCCAATATCTGAGGCCAAGACCTTAAAACTTTTTTAAAAAGTTTGTGCTCTGTGAAAAGGCACATACCTAGGAGTGATTTGCAGTATCTTATCACCACCTCTGAACTGTATGAAGTACATTCTTAGTCCCATGAAAACCACCTTGTCTGGAAATCACAATTGGAAAGGTGCAGACAACTAACAAGATAAATATGACACTATTATTTCATTGTGCATATCTAATGCACATTAACACAGTAAGATTCTAAAATAGTGATCCCAGTATCTTTATCATATTAACGTTTCCCATAATGCTCTTGCTCAACCTGCTTTTTTACTGACATAACTTCAATTAAAAAAAATATCATTAAAGCACTGCTGTAGAAGGTACAGACTGATACATCTGTCATGATATTAAAAAGATGGGGTTTCATTTTACATTTCAAAGTAAAGTAGGATTAACACTGAACACTTGTTTGCTCAACGAAGCAAACCTGTGAAGACCTGGAATGTTCCTATCTTCAGGCAGTGGAACTATCACCTGCTTAATAAAGGCCATCCCTCAGTGAACTGAAAATCTATAGAATTAATTCTGAAAAGGGTCCCACAAACAAAAGTTATTTCTCTGCTTAGCCTCTTGTCTGTATAAGGGAGTTACAAATACATGAACTTTAGAGAAAACACTTTCATTTACCGATGAACTGCTGAAATATGTAGAGGTGTGCCATTATTTGATGATTTTTCCTTGAATCTCACCTCTGATTTTATCCAGTTTACCATTCAAAGTAATAACCTTTTTTTAAAAAGACAAATAAATGCTTTGCTATTTTTCGTAAAAAAATTTTTTTCAGGGTAGTTACTGGGGTTTTTTTGTTGTTAATTTTTAGAAGAGGTCAACTCAACAGGAACTGGCTGTCAGTTGTCCATTTTTAGCTATTCAAGAACTTCACAGGGGCACTGAGAAAACAATTGGATAGACTCTTACTATTTTTTTTGGTAGACCTGAATACCAACATGAAAGACAGTCATTTCAAACCCTGTATTTTGTACTCTTTGGTATGAATGCCTCTCATTATTTTGACACCAATAAGGGTTAAGTTTGTATTGCCTCAAGGGAACTACCGTAACTGCAGCAAAAACAACAAGGAGCCATCTAGAAATGTCAGGCCATCCTCCATAAACATACCAAAACACACACACACAGACAGTGTTGGTAGAACAGTAGTAAAGTCTGTTGATAGAAATTTTCCAGTCATTAACTTCTGCATTTAACTTTAATTTGTAGACCAATAAATCCAATTCCTAGCATGAGCATGACCAAAACTGGGTATTACTGACTTGGTGCAAGAGATGAGGAAGGTCAACACAATTCTGTTTTCTAGGGATCCAGATGGACAGAGGAGGGGGTTTGCACAGTGCAGCCAAAGACAGCACAGAAAGCGAGGCTGTGCCCAACAAGTCAGGCCAGGACCGCAGGGTACGGGCATGCTTGCACTGGCATTCAGAGTAACAGCAAAGATGACATGGGGCTGCTTTACTTGCTCGAGTGGCAAATGCCAAGTAGTATCTCTACAGTCTATGAACTACCGAGATTAAAGCTAGCTGAGGTATGACTATATGCCACCACTTTGCTGAGAGTCATCACGGAAGATATCTTCGGAGGCTAATTATGCCAAATTTTTCTTCCTTGCTGGGAGACTAAAGAAGAGGAAGTGTACCTTTAACACTGACATTTAGCCTCCTCTCCCCTGCTCTACCAGACTTCTAAAGATGCCACACTTAACCTTATCTATTGCAAGCTTACTCCTGAAGCAAACCATTTTTTATTTAAGCAGTGTAAAGCAAAAGGAATTTTTAGCAAATACCTTGATAAAGGAATTGTCCTTAACTCAAATCACATAAATATTAATGAAAGTGTAAAACCTGTAATTTAGCTCTTCTCCAATGTGTTTCTCACTAGGTTCATACTAAGGTAGGGTGGCAGTCTTATCTTAATTTTCTATAGCAATCAGAAACTCCCCTGCAAACCAGTATGGTAACATTACAGTAGTACCCCGTTTCCTTATTTACTCTGAAGAATTGTAACAGCTATGCTTACGAAAGTACAGTAACATCAAAATCACTTGGTCATCTTTTAAGAAATTTACAGAATTGGTGCATCCACAAATCTATATGCAAAAAGTATATTGCATGTTTATGGTATATAATGCATACTCGCTCCATTTCCAGGTACAAACAACAGCCTATGCGATAAGAAACTGTTTAGCAAAATACACCGATAATCAGACGACCATGAAAACTTCAGCCTCTTGAACAATTAACATCTTTCATAACACTGCTGAAAGCATTAATGAAAATTTAAGTGGGAAAATGTACATTCTTTATTCTGTTGTTTAGATACAGAATAAAATTTAACTTCTCAGAAAATAAAACTATAGCTACAGCTTTGAGAGCTGTCAGTTTACTTATGAGGATAAAGTACATGCACTTTTTCCAGTTACTTTATTGCACATAATGTACAGTCATAAATGGTGTTTTATTTACACATCTTTTGGCAATGTCCACGTTTGCTTTTCCCCCTCAGAATACATTATTTTGCACAAACAAAACCTTAAATGTTTCACACAAACTGCCATAATACAAGTCAAAGCATATATGCGTATATGTCATTTTATTGTTGCCGCTAATTCTTCTAAGAGTTTCAAATCTCAGTTAATCTTTGCCTCGGGAGGCAGATTCCCCCCTGGTTATTCTGTTGTCGAAGACAGACACCCGAACTGCAGGCACTAAGAAATTAGCAGTACAGCCTGCTGTGCCTGACCCCTAGCCCCTATGCAGAACCATACCACCTGCAATTAGTGCACAGGCACAGAGAAGGAAGAGCACTGTACTTTCGTTAACCAGTTTGATTCAGCATTGATTATCACGTGTTAATGTTACGGTTCACGTGTTATTTGGACAAGTATTCCGTTAAAAGTGTTTTAGAAAAATATATCAAATACATTAAAAGAAAATAGAAATTCCAGTAACAATTATATACTTCCAGCCCTAGGAATGTGTTACTCAGATTCCATTCTGTACAATGTGCTATTTATGATAACTTTTTTTACCCAGACACAAAGAATTCAGTTTTATATACTCATAGGCATGTTTCCCTCAAGTTAAAGTAATTTCTTAATGGATGGCAACACACTTCAATTTTTCCCTGTATTTTCAGGGCAGAAAACCTTTTAGTGGTCCCACTCCTAGAGTACAATCTGGCAATAAACCATTCTTTATGGTAGATCTTTGACATACTTTTAAAAGATATGTTCAAATAAAAGATCAGTATTGTCAGTATACACTGAACATATGCTCATTAAAAATACCTTTAATAAAAATCCTTGAAGACTCTTTATGAAATATATCTTGAATTGATGACATGCACAAAAATACTCTCGGAGAAACCAAATTTGTTGTCTTGAGAAGACAATTTAACCTCAGAATAATACGAACCTAACTTCAGTTATTTAGCAATATTGAAGTCATCCTTAAATTCAGTTCTAAACCCACTTTGCTTCTTTCCTATAAGCAGGCAAAGTATAAACCAGTTAAATTTTCAGACAGGCACTTCGGTAAATTAAGAAATGCCTTTGGTGGACAACAATGTATATTTTGATTTTAGAGTTTTTCCCTTTTTTTGCTGTCCTTCAGCTTTAAAGTATTATAAAGCTTACAACAACTTTCACTATTGCATATACTGAAAAATGAGATGAAAATGCACTGTGAACAAAGTATGACAGTAGTTAATATCTACTGATAAAAATACAAAATAATAAAAATACTACAGGACAGCAGTAGTCCTGGGAATAGAAGTATTCTTCAATATAAAATACTAAACTTTTGTTCCATCTGAATAGTTTCACCTAAAATGGAGAGAGAACTTCACCAAGCTTAAATGTGTGCCTCTGATAAAATACTTTAGGAATATAAATTATTGGCTCTGTAATGACACTTGTGCCATTATCCAGTCAAAAGGTTTGGTATAATCTGTTGTAAATGTCTTAATTTTTTTATCACTTGCCTGTGGCTGATTTTTAGGATATCAACTGTTAAATTAATAATCTGTACAAGTGAAACTATTCAAAATGCATTGATATTTCAGCTGTACCTAACATTTTTGTAAAACAAAGAACTACATGCCATTAGAAAACAAACACTATCAAAGCTAGACTATTCTTCACTATAAAATAAAGATGCATTCTATTTTAATTACTAACAATACTGTGAGAACTCTTTAACACTCAAGTTTTATACTGTATGGATTTCAAGATAAATAGTTTGAAACATCATAAATTAAAGGAGGCATTTGAACGGATTCAGCCTCCTCATCTGAATTTTTACCATCTACAGGAAAAAAACTCGGATTTCACAAACACTGTTGACATCGGAAAAGTTATCTACAGTGAGGATCTCCCTTGACATTAGGTGTAATTAATCTCAATTTAAGATTACAAATCTAGGAGAACTACCTGGGAAATGTAAAGGAGCTTCAGACAGCTTAAGTTCTAAGAAAGGGAAATGTTTCCGTAAAAATATTTGCATAGATGTACATTCAAAACAGCATTTCCACCATTTAAATTCCCTGCATTCATTTTGCTAAAGTCATCCACAGGGATGAAGATCACATAAAGGCAGCCCTGGAATTTGAAATGGCTGTTGCTTGGTAATTTGATGAAAGGTGTATTTTTGTACTTTCTGCAGTCACTAGGAAAAGATCCAGTTTGACCTTTGGCTTACATATTGTTCTCCCCTGAGCTAGGCAATACTGACAGACTATAGCAGAAATGCAAATAAAAAAAAAAAAAAGTTACGTGAAAATAGTGTGGCATGAAGAAAATAAGGCACTTTTGGCAAGGAAAACCCCCAGATTTTGTATTTCAATGTAGAACAGTTCTATCCAGAAGTATTTTGTGCTTAGAAACATCACATGGTGCAACAGTGAATCAGGTGCCAAAACAAACAAATCACGAATTACTGTGAGATTAACTGCAACCTCTGAATGGTTCAACAAAGAATCAAACTGGTTTCTGTACACAGTCATGATTTACCAATGTACTGGCATCTTTGCTCTTTTGCTGTGAGCCGACAGTAATTATTTTAGAGAAAGAAAAAGAAAGTGTGGAATTAGTAATGCAGATGCTGAAAGGCAAAGTGGCAAGACTCTACAAGAATGTCTCAAAAAATGCTACTTTGTTCCCATTTCTACTGGCACCTATTCCCCAAGGTAAGAGGCCAGAATGACCAAAGCCAACTTAACAGTAGTGTGCAGAATGTCAGCTGACAAACAACATAAAAACAAGTCACGTTGTGTTATCTGTGGTCACGTTCTTCAGGGTTAGTTCAGTAACTCAAGACTTTACATTCTTCCGTCTTTACTTGTTTATCTTAATTACACATGTAATGGTTAATAAACAGACATAGTCCAGAGTTAGTAGGTTGGTATTATAACATTTATTAAAATAATGCTATGGGTTAATAGAAACAGCAAAGAACCAAAGAATTAAAATGCAAGCTATGTAAAAACCCAACTAAAACCCAAATATGTCTAATGTATTCATCCAGTAGCTAACTAAAAGCCCAAGAAAGACAACACTCCCAATATAATAAAGTACTGCAAAACAATTGGCAATTTTTCAGTTATCAAAATTGTGGGTTTTGCATTTTGTATCCTTTTTTCTCAATCAGGAAAAAAATTCTTTTGAATGTTATATAACATACATATAAAACAAGATAGAAAAATACATTATAAACTTGTAACAATGGCTGTAAATACATTATCTTACATGTTTCTCATAGGCAATAGGTTGGTTATGGTACATACATAGCATGAAACTACTAAGATAATAAAGAATAGACAAATACATGTCATCTGTACGGTTACATACAAGCGACACTCCCATCTACCCACTCTAAAAAAATTACATAATACTGTCAGAAAGAAGTCTTAAAACTACTTATTTTAATAAAGAAAAAGTCATTAAAGAATGATAATACTGAGAACCAAGGCATTCAGAGATTTCAAAAGTCATGCTTTTTTTTTAAGTTGATCCAAAATTTTGTCAACTAAGTTTTCAGAAGTTTGTTCAGAGCAAACATTACTTTCACATGTCACACATCTATTTCATACACTTCCCCTCCCCCCCAGTAAAAGACCTTTGATAAATGTCTAAAATGTCCAGGTTTTATCACAGTTGAGATGAAACTGGATCAAATACTGGTATAGTTTTAGCAAATCTCTCTTCAAATGTTCGAGTGTCGCAAGTTTATTCAACCAACCAACCAAAATAAAATCAAAATGGCACAGCATATACTGTAAATAAAATCAACACAACTGTATGTGTAACAGGAAGACAAAGCCGGTGGCACAATAAACAAAAATCTAGCTGAATACGAAAGGATGAATGTCTATTGCATAGTAAATAAACTGATAATTATTTCCAGGTGAGACAAGATGTTAGATGAGGTCACCATGCAGGTGCTTAAAAATGTAAGCCCTCTTAGCTTACTATTGACCTTTCATTTGGAAGCTGTGAAGATTTGCAGGAGGAGAATAAGTTGACAGGAGGGGACTAAAATTATCACCTGATATTTGCCAAGTTTAGTACTGAGCCCCACAAAGTAATACTTAATGTTTTCAGAATTAAATACTGTGCGTTCAACAGCTTCAGCTCTTGCAATTGCCCAGCTATTTGAAATTCATGTGGAAACAAAGGTTAAAAATAAAGTTTAGCTGGACTTCAAACAACTAGCTGATGTCCCTCTCCTGCTTATCTTTTGAAGAAAAGCCAACAGGGAAGATCTAACAATAGTCAAAGACAAGCTGAAAAATAAATAACTTCCATGCTGTTTGCCACTGCAGGAGCTGTTTGTGAAAACTGGGGACACGTTCAGTAGCTAACTGAAAACTAGCCAAGCACTTTCAGTTTCATTATTCACAGAACATCCGTTTTCTGGGTGATGCCGAAGCCTACTATAGTCGATGTATATTTATTTCAACCAAAATCAAGAAAACTCCTCTCCATCCCTGAACAAAAATGACATACTTCCAGCTCTACAAACATTTGTCAGCTAATAATCTCCTTTAGCATGAGACAGTCTGTATCACAGAACCCTTTGGTTTACGTTGCACAAGTATGGCATTTGCTATGATTTAAAAAGTAGAGTGGCTGAAATAATAATGGGCCGGTTTGACAAAAAACTTAGCAAATATTTCACATAATGAGATTTTGGCAAAGTCACATCACACTAGTATGGCAAAAATCAGGTAATTAATATGGTCAACTCATCATTTGTCTTCCCTCACAGCTTCTTTCACATACTGGGCGTCTGAGTGGCATGCAGTAACTTGTCTGAGGGAGAAGCTGATTATACAAGACATTTGACTAAATGACCATGAAGAAAATAAGGCACTTCCTTTTCTTTAGACTTATTCCAATACTTAAAAAATAAAAAAGAAAGACTAAAAGGCTCTTTTGGTCTTTTGTTTCTTGACAACCACCAGAAAAAATCATTTAATGAAATAAAGGGTTTCTTTGTTCTTTTTTTCTTTTTTTATAACACTTGAAAGTATAAAATGCTACATTTCCAAAAATATATTTTTTTTTTCTGCACCAGCACCCTTGTATAGTAAAAGTATCTACTTTTTTGTTCATTTTGTTTCAATGCACTACACTTTATCTACAATTTCATTACATGTATACAGCAAATAGGCAAGCATGGCTTTTACATCCTTAATGAAATTTTTTCTATACAGGGAGGTTTAAAAAAAATATTTGAACAGTTTGCCCAGTAATGTGACACATAATGCATGTACCTTGTTCTCATGTAATCTTCCAAGGAGATTAAAATATGGTTAAAACAATTTAAACTCGTATTTCACTTTAATAGTGTTGCTGTTTTGTCCTCTGCATTAATGTAGTTCTGAAAAGTCATCATAATCTGCATTTCATGGCACACTTTCCTTTAAAACGTCCAATTTGGCAGGCAATAGAAAAAAGGCTGCAACATCTGCCCTTTGAGGGCACTGGTAGTGACTAAACGGCGCATCAAATTTTGAATACTTTTTAGAATCCCTTCCCCAATGACATCCCTGACCAAAGGTTCATGCATGATGCATCATCACACAGTACATTCAGAGAGAGCTTTGACTTTTTTTTTTTTTTTTTTTTTTTCTGAGAAGAAAAATATTCCTAAAAGTCTCTCACAGTAACTGCCTCTGTCATCGGGTAGTTAAGGGACATCTGTCTCCATCTCGTGCGAGGCCTCCTTACCGTTCGCTTGGGGCGGGACACTAGAGGATGATCAGTGCGGAGGGATGAGTTGGACCTTATTGCTTTACTACTATTCAGTGCAGGTTCTAGAACCACTTTCACCCAAACAGGAGAACAACAAAAAGCGGAGTTGGAGGACAACAATTTCTTTGTCTGTTTTGTTAGATGGTAAGACGAACGGACAAGTGCCCCAGCTCGCTGCACTGAAGACAGGCAAGCAAAGGCGTTTACCAGTTAACTGATCAGCAGGCAGGCATGGTCAGGTCATCATTGGGTGAAGAGTTCAGAGGTCAGAAGGTCATAGGTTAGTTGCCGGTGGCGGCTGGGTGGTTAGAAACAAAAAAAAAAACAAAACAAAAAAAAGAAAGAAAAGATAGAGAAGAGATTAGTTCCAGCTAGTGACGGCTTAATGACAACATGAAAACTAATCACAACTAATAAAAAAAACAAGCATGTTTAATTCTGACATACTGATCGACACCATCTACAGAATGCAATAAAATCATGACAGCCCTCCATCATGATTTGGACACGTGAAGGAGAAGCCCACTCCCACAAAACCGGTTAACAGGAGAAATAGAGATAAAATATGACTAACGACTAATGGTTAGTAGCAGTCGATGAAGGAAATTGGAAAACAAAAAACGATGAACAGTTTTTGAACTGGGTAGAAGATTTCTGGAACAACAGTCAGTGCACAGCATCAGTATCTGACTGCTATTAAGCATTAGTACTTCCCCAGGTGCAAGCATTAAAGCAACTATTAATGATGGATGTGATTATTAATAACTGGTTGTTAAAAGAATGGAGTCATCTAAGGAATTCTGGACTTAAGAGAAACAATTTGGTTCAACAAACTACGGGCCAAACAAAGGGTTTTCGTTCAATAAATTTTTTATTGCCTTTCATTTATTCTATTTACAAACAACATGGAATTTCTTGGCCTCATGATACAAAGCAGTACTAAACTGTAGTCTAGCAACGTAGGCATCATCGTGGGAACCAGGAAAACGCTCAGCCTGCTACTATAGCCAGCATTTTCCTGTTCGAAATACTATTTTACACATATAGGACACTTATAAAATGCACTTGCATGTAAACACTGTAAAAGTCCTGCCATTTTAAAGTCTATACTTAAAAAGCTCTAAGTACATGAAAAAATAGAGAAAATATCTAATTGATACTAATAAGGCATTTTAAAACTACAAACAGCTCTCTTTATTCATTTTCAAAGCTAATACTCTGCAAATACAATAAAATCTGACATTTCATATACATTCCTGCTTTATATTTTTATATTTTAAAAGAAGCCACCTGTAAATACTATTTTCTTTTGCAAAAAAACCCCCCAAAAAAACAAAACCCCAACAAAACAAAAAATAAAACCCCAAAACACAAACAAATTACAGTAAAACATAAAAAAGTTCTCAAGTGGAAAGTTATCATTCCCAATGTTCTTGAGCTATTCCTTCTTTAATCATTCTCTCGCATTCTCCTTCACCAAACTTGGTCCACTTAACAGTAGTATGATTTTTTTTTTAAGACTCATTCAACAGCTTAATTATAGCTAATAAATTCTGAGGTTGATAAAAGTTTTTGTACTGTTGCCATTTTGACTAAGGCAGAGGAGATGAAAGTGAGAAAGGTATTCAGTGCAAAGTCAGATTTGTGCCATTATATAAAATGAAGTCCAGTAGGTGTAATATTCACAGATACCATTGATTTAGCAATCTTTCTTGTGGGTTCATTTACTTTCACATAATAAAAATGGCCTATCATTTAGGATACAGTTCATAACACTACCAAAAACTACTACTGTAACATAAATGAGACCAAAACACAACTCCCTGAATTTTTTTTTAAGAATCATGCTTAGTGGGATTTAAATTAAAACAGCTGTTTCAAAAAGAAAAAAAATATATTTCATGTGGCACAATCTTACCACTTCACAGGTATACTAGAAACAGACTCTTAAAGCATATTGATACTGATTACAATTTTGATTAAATGATATTAGAATTTATACATAAATTATGTGACAATTGGTTTGGATAAATTCAAGAAAATTCTCAGCATTAATATTTCTTGTGGAGTTTAAAATCAAAGCAAGCTACTTTTAAAAAATACCAGTACACCTGTGATACATCCTCTGCCAAGTCTCTGGCCTTCTACAGTACACACAGGTTTGTCAACTGTGCAACACCATTTACAGTTTATTACAATTAAATCAGTCAGTCTCTCTGTTATATGCATCAAATTCAATTTTGTATTATTTATAAACTGGGAGTTTATTCTGAGTTAAAATGAGCTATATTTTCCAACCCTTCACCAATTCTAAATGCTTAGTTGTAAAACATTTACACATTTGGGGAGTCTTGCTTTAACTGCAGTGCTTATCTCTGGAAAAAAAACCACAAACAAAAAACCAAAAACCAAAACAAAACCAACAAAAAAACCAAAACTATGCAAAGAATAAAAAACTACTTAAAAAGTGAATGCAGTAGTACAACAAAGTCATCTGAAAGTCAATTTAGAATTAAAAAAACCCCAACTTTAGACCCAATGAATGCAAAGATAGATTTAGTGATATTTAACTATATAAAAAAATTTTCCTCATTGAAAAAAAAAAGGTATTTCGGTTTGCTGACATTGTTTTTCATGGCCATAGCTATAGAATTATCTTGGTGACAGAACAATCAAATAGGTGAATATGGTAAATACTGATAGCATTTTAATTCTACAATATAGAAATTTTTATTGCTGAACAAAGTTCTCTCCAAAACATTTAGTGAAACTTTTAAATCTGTGAAGTGGTAACCTTGGATTTCAAATTCAAAATACAATGAAGTTCGGTTGTAAAATTAACTTTGTGTTTCTCAATTCACACTGACATTACTTAGGTAAGACTTTCAAATATGGCTCTCCTGAAATATCGATATGGTTTCCATAAGAGAGATGTATGCATGACTCATTCCACAGGAGCTAAGATATTTATTTATCTACTTAACACAGTGGGTTTCCACTTTGCTAGAGATAAATGCTGTTCTGTCAGAAAAAGGCTGTATTTTAAAAGAAGGTGAAATGATACCAATAATTAATTTCAATTACTTTTATATGACCCAGATAAAACACCTAGGCCATTCAAAAACTATTTAATATTTATGTTCAGTAAACAATAAAATGATGAACTTAAAACTACAAATTGGTATTTTCTCCCTGACAGCAATCCCTAACTTCCCCCAAAGCCTGTTTATCTATACTTACTAGCTGTCTCAGGCAAATATCTAATTAAACAAAAAGGTATCCTCACCTGTCACCTGAAACTACCACTGCAGATCATGAAAGACCATGAGGAAAAACTGATTTTTGCAACATTAGGTCAAACTTTGAAAGACAACCTTACCACCTGTTTCTCTTGAATGTGGTAGAAAAAAAATTAGAAAATATTAAAACCTGTTTCTTTTTTTATCCTCTTTTTTTTTTTTTTTTGTAAACATGGGCTATGATTTTCTACTGATTATACCCTGTTGCCTGACTGAAGAGTTCTCAAGAAATGAGAACAAGCCAATGGGCTGCAAATAGTGTGCAGTGATATAAAACAATCTTATCGAAATCTGAAGTAGTGTCTTTTATCAGCTTTACACTTTCTGTAAAGACTAAGATCATGTGAAAGTGTTACATAAATACAGCAAATATCCAGGAGGGCCCCTTTTACTGAATTGACCAAAATCTGTATTCTTTCCTGTAGCAAATTTATGGAAGGTTGTGAGAAGTGAAGTGTAGTCAATGTTAGGAGATGTCAGATTTGTTATTGGAATTTGACTTTTGAATATTACAGTATCATGGAAACCTGCACAACATTGATTTGGATGAGAGCAGAATAATAATACTTGGCACGTAATGCTTTGCATCCTCAAAGCCCTGTACAAAACAAGAACCCCCACAACACCCCTGTGAGGTAGGGAAGTATTATTATCCTTATTTTACTCATGGGAAAACATACACAGAGAGATTAAATTACTTGCCAAAACCCACAGTAGGGATGGGGTAAAAATTCATCCCTCACACTACTTCCTAGTCAATGTCAATAAACCGAAAATATCAGTTTTCTCAATAAGCTTAAATACTTCATTCAGGGGTCCAAAGGCATGACACTTGAGGAACAGGAGAAAAATGAAGATTTACTTTCCATTCAAGGGTTAAAGAGAGATGCCCAAATACTGGATGTCATCTCACCAACAGGACTTCAAAAGTTGCTTCTCCTTCAGGTTACACATTTTAGCAGCAAAAGGAAAATACCAAGAAATAGATTTTGGAAAAAAAAAAAAAACACAACAAAAAAACCCAAAAACACCAAAACACCCTCCCTTCTCCTACCCTTACTAATTCGAACAACTTTTGAAGTTATCTTCACAGCCCTTACCTTTCTGAATTCAGTTAGGTATCTGAGAACATGCATCCTCCTCATAATATACAGTACAGTGGCTCAAAAGTTTATTGGAAAAAAAGGAATCTAAATCTTCAGATTTCTCCAGACACAGACAGGAGGCATTTATTCCTTTACTTCTTTCTCATTAAGCAACCATCCATTCATTTTATTTTGCAACACCAATCTGATATTTCCACACCAATAAAAAGAACGAATTGGGGGGGGTCGCGAAGGGGGGAGGAAGGGAACATGACCAAATTAATTATTGCAGCACTGATTTCGTAGCATTTTCTGATGCAGTTGGATCTTTCATTTTTAAAACTGTATCAGTTATAGCATTTCTATTAAATGTATCAAAGTATATCTATTTAATTGAGCTGGGAAAGCCAAGTTTACAATAATTTTTCTTTTTTTAAAACTGCCAGTATTCCCAAAGCTTTAAAATATTAACTGTTCAGATTTTGGAGAAAAATAATGAATGGGTCAAAATAAGGTATTTGGTTAACCAGCTGTGGTGTTGCAAATCTCATGTACACTCAAAGCACTTCTTACAAACAAGAACTGCAGAACTAAACTAACCTCGGTCTGCGGTCACAATCCTTTGGTAAGGATGGACACGCATATCGTGCCTTCGAACTTTAGTAGCCACCGCACCTAGTTAAATTGCAATTACCAAGACAAAGTTAGAAAACATTCACAGAAAACATTAACAGCAGGTTTATCAAAATGGATTTAAATGATCATTAACTACAAAAGTTCATTTTAAGAAAAGCAACAAGTTAAGGCACAGTAGTTTCAAATCTTAATCTTAAAAAGAAGTTTATCTGTGCAGATTAATATTGCATTTCTTTTAAACATCCTGGCCTTAACCTGTTTAATCCATTCATTTACAATCCCAAAATTACAGTATTTCATGAAATCTATTAGACCCAAGCACATTTAAGCTTTACTAGTCACATATTCACTGAAGTGCCTTTCTTGCAGCAGGACTATTTTAAATAATGCCATCTTTTAATACTGACAATTATTTGCTAACCTTAAGATCACTTCCAGTTCTACCACAAAAAAAAAAAGTTTTAAAGCAATTCTTCAAGCCTACAATTGTGATTTTTAACCTTTAAGTCAATAAGTATGAACTGCAATGAATTAGGTGATTAGTAAAGCAAACACTATATAGAACACTTAGCAGTCAGTATACTACTATACACTCATAAATTACAGCTACTCTGTAATAATAGGACCTAATCCAAATTAATAGCACTATTTTATTTTAAATCTATGTGCAAAAAAGTGCAAGTAAGTCACTGACTGCTAGGCCAAGCTTTTTTCAAGGCTGCTGAAACTAAGCATTTGTTAAAATTCAGATCTGATGAAGGATCAGTTAAGACCGTTCTTGAATTCTTAGCCTTTCGTTGGGAAAGCCATACCTGAAGATAAAAGGAAGGGAATTAAAAGTTAGTCACCAACTAAAATTTGATCCCAACACCAAAATCCCCCAAAATACTGATAGGGATGCATTTCTCTGCCATTTTTAACAGAATTATTTTAAGACATCTTAAAGGTCCACCACAAAAATGGACAAAATACTATAAATGAGAATGAGCATGTAACAAAACTCAATTAAAAACTAATTTAATTCAATTAACTCTATACAATTGCTCAGACAATAGAGCAGATGTATTAAGAGTTATTGATCATATGCAGCTTCAGAGGGAGTGTGGGGGTATCCTCCCTCCCCCCTTTTCCTTTTTTAAGTAACATTTTTTAATGAGATCTATTTTGGGCAATCCACCTCACACAGCTAAGCCCAAGAGTATGCAATGGTTTCAGATACCATTTTAGGAGTAATTTTCCCCTCCTCTCTCTTCATAGAAAATCCTGTGAGAAATCCAAGTTCCCTGCACTGTATTCAACTACTACTCTGGAATGATGTATTTCTTTACTTGCTATTAACTGAACTCGGGAGAGGGGTTTGCTCCTACTCAATAGCTGAGAGCTACTCTGTTGAACTCTGTAACTGTGACTTTTCCCCAGGATGTTTCACAGACAGACTCACAGACTGGGGTAGAGAAGCTAGGGAGAATATTTACATGTTTGTGGGAAATTAATAAACTATAAAATTATCATATGCTCACTGAATTTTGGCTATGGGGTAACTGACAACAACCATAAACTCCTCAAAGGCAGACCTACTGCATACTTCTGTCCTACTAGAATTTTAATTATTGATTCACTAATCCTGCAAGACAAGATACATATTATATGCAATGTATATACAAAATAGAATATGGAAACATGCACACATACAGATAACTCACCAAGTATCTGTCACGTGAAACACTGATTTTTTGCAATACTTTCAACAAAATATTGACTTTGAACCTTATTGTCCAGTCTTCATTAGAGATGTTTAGAATTTGTGTAAATCAATAACTGCGACTGAACAAACTAAGATCAAAGTCCTATAAAATCAACATTATGCAGCACCAAGGTCATATGCAATTCAGAACAAACTGAAGAGAAAAAATTATGTAGATTCTGTAGAGGGTAGGGAAGGAAGAAACTATGCGAACTGCTTGCTCCATATTGACCAGTTAACTGAATTGTCATGGCTGCTTTATCATTCTTGCCTTCACACACCAAGTCAGTGGTCTGAAATATTAGGAACGATTCAATGCAATGTATATCAAAGAAGCCATCAGTAGAGTTGCTAATTTTATCATACTTTGGTCAGAACTTGGTTTGCTTCATATTAATTCAGTGAAATTATTTTCTGCTCACAAAATGATTTACAGCTTTCTGACACTGAGGAGAGATTTATCAGTTGCGTACTAAATAAAGCAGCAAAAACTCCAACTGAGAAAAGACCTTTCCTCTCCATCCAGTTTTGCTACTAAACAATATAGCAAAATAAGAATCTTCCAAAGATTGTTGGACATTAATTTATGTTAAAGAGAATACAAATAGATCTTGTATTTATGGCAGCCCAAATGACAGGCAACAGACGTCTAATTTATCTTTTTTTGCCTATGTATCCACCATCTAATGTTATACAAACATCAAGATTTTTTTTTCAGTAATCTTATTAATATAAATAATACACACATTCAAGAATGCAAGATATGTTTGAAATGTTCAAGAGCTGCACCATTTGAGCAGCTCTCCTAGGCAGTTTTGATATACCCGAGTTAAGTTTGTTGCTTCGAATCTGTTTCTTTGAGCTCCATGACCTCTACTTTGCAAATAAAAGCATCAGCAATACATTCTCCAGTCATCCACGTACAAAGATCTTACCTAATACACCACTAGGTTCAATAGGATACTCAAGGATTGATGTAGCTGGTGCCAGCGTGTAGGGGTATTCATATGGTGTGTAAATTAAACCGGCTTCGGGTCCAGGTGGAACTATTGCAGCAGTGGGATGAGGAGTTCCGTTTGGCATGACAGCGGTTTGTATTTGTCTGATCAAAGGCATTATGGTAGGGCCAGCTGGCGTAGGGGTACGCAGGGCAGCTGGTGGGAGAACAGGCGCAGGCCCAGTAATAATCCTTGGAGCCTGGGCTGTTGCTGCAAGAGAAAAGGCAAGGGCTGCTACAGTAAGCAAAGAAATTCAGAGGAAAGTATGGAGATAGCAGTACAAAACGTGGAAAGAATGGGAAAAAGGGGAAAAAGTAGGAAAGAAGAAAAATAAAAGGAAATCATTAGTACATGCGCTGATCACACAGTGCCAAAGCACACCATTCAAATGCAAACAGCTTTCCATTTTCCAGTGTGATTAAGTATGAACATGCAAAATAAAAAAGCCATTGTAAAACAGTGAGGTAGATTTCTCGAACAGGTTACACAGCACGAAAGCTCCATTTAGACCACATTTCTTCATTTATGCTATCAAGACTGCATGAGACTGAGATGCATGCAGGAAATACAAGGGAAATACTGTCACAAATACAAAGAGTACAAAATTTAGTGCACCTACAGAGTCCACAGACACTCAGTTATGCAGAGCTGCTCTATGAGTCTACAGTTTTTATATGACTTAAAATTGTATTTAAACCTATATACAATTCCCATTTCCAGGATCAGTGAAGCAAAAGATGACCCAGAAACATGAATCAATCCTCTCCTACTCTAGTATGAATAAAATAGACTCAAATGTGATTTCCATATCATATGTCACAAAAAAAGATACTTCCTTTGTACTAGAAGTTTACTACAGCCTTGCTTAATTTAAAGAAAATAGGGGGTTTTTTTGTTTGTTTTGTTTGTTTGTTTTGGTAGGTTTTGTTTGTGGTGGCTTTGTTTGGTTTTTTTAAGTGGTGCTAACATGTTTATTAAGTGTTATTTGAAGCCTGTTGGCACACCAGATGAACAACAACTTAAACACTAACACATCTGCTGGTAACAGTCAAGCTTAAAGGGTTATAATTTATGGATTTCTTTGCACTACTGTTGATCTACATTGGTTTAATTAACTTATGGGTGGCCTGAAAAGAGAAATGTGGCAAAAAATTTTTCAGATTTTTTATTATTATATTTTTAAACAAAAGTCCTTAGATAATTCAAAAAACCCTCAAACTTTTCCTTTCTTGAACAAAAATAAACTAGTATGGCTTCTACATCTTCAACTTTTCAGTAAAATCAAATTACAAAGAGTGAAATTGTCTTACTATGAAAAAACGAGTATTAGTGTGGAAACCTCTAGTCAAAAAATAACAATTCTATCTTCCTGCTTACACTGATACAATAAACCAATTAGATCAGACAAAGAAGTTGTTCAAATTAATATACAGGTTTCTATGCAACAGTTTACATCAATTTAAGCTATTCTGAAAGCTATTTTACTCATAAATTTTCAACAATTTAGAGACTAACATATATTTAAAACTCATCCAGCTTTAAATATTACAGTGTTCATTATGGCTGAAAGATTTACCATTACCATTGTAGTGGTAAATATGGTAAAAGCCCTTCCTTATGTCTCTTTTCAAATCAGAATAATTACACTGGTGTAAGCACTCTCAAATTGACCTAACTGCATTCCAATCTTTGAACATAGTCAACACTGAAATGGTGACTGTGTGGAGAAAACAAATTTGCAAATATCAGTAGGCCCTTAGCGAAAAGACTGGTTTAACTGTGCTTACATTTGACATCTGTATCACAGCTACAGCAAAAATTTAATTTGGAAAAGGAGCTACATTTTCAGAAGGAGAAAACAGATTTTCAACTAGAGAAAATAATTTGTATCACAATTATAGGTATATGCTTTCATTAGTAGGTGCGTGTAATTAATTTTCAAGTGTAAACTTGTGCATACATGCGTTTGCAAAAGCATTTTCACACAAATGTAATGGAAGTAATCGTAAAATGGCTTGTTACATCACTGATCCCTGTGAACTCAGCTGTGAAATCAGTTGATGAATTGTTGGTAAAACATAACATTGGGGGTACGCATGCAAGCAAGATGAAAGGAAGGAATATAATACAGAAAAATGTATTCACAGTATCCTCAACATCTGTAACATTTTAGAATTAAATCTCTAAAACTGAAAAGGAGTCTATTGTCCTTAAGGATGCACTAGGGAAAAAAAAATTGTACAACAGGAAAATCTGGCTTAAGGGCTGAGATTTGTTACACTATATATTAGTAAATATTTCAACCTAGACATACTGCCTAAAAAAAGGGGGGGGGGAGGAGGGCGACAAACAGAAAACCTCCAAACTGACCTAACTTATCACCAGAAGATCTTTTCCAACAGCTACCTACTGTTTTGTTGGGTTTTTACTGCCTTTCAATTCTCCAACATAGTTGCCACTGTACATTTTCCAAAAAGTATCTCTAAGAATCAAAACCTGCAAACATTACTATGGCATTGACCCTTGAGCTTATGACATGCTTACGTGATTTGATGTTGGCATCTCTGTAGGTGCCATTCAGAATTGCAAGCTCCATCAGCTGCATCTTTTTAAGGCTGTCTTCTCCTTCTGCCTGCAAATGAAAAGATACGAAGAATTCAGGATTATGAATTCACTAGTGCATAAGATCTAAGGGACCTAGAATAAAACGCCTTCAAGTAAAATACCTGCTTACAAAAACCAGCAAGTTTTGCTAACTTTTTCTTGAAATTAAGGGCAAGTTGCCTGTTGTCAACATTAAGTCATGTTGACAAACATGTTTAAAGAGTTTCGGAAAAGAAAGCTTCATAACATAAATGATAAAAATAGGGTTAAATGTAAGTTGCGTTTGACAGAAATTGTTTAAGGAAATTTCTCCTCAAATATGTGTTTGTGTACTCCTAAAGGTATCTTTTAAAAAACTGTATTATTGGGCCAGAGGAAGAATAGGCATCACAGATTTTAAGCACTGCAATTTATAGTAACCTGCTCCACTACAGTTGACTACTAGGGAGGTGGAGCAAACAAAAATAAACAACAAACTTTGAGTAGCATTCCAGACAGGATATTGACAAATGTCAAAAGGCTGAATTCCTAATTCTAGCACATGTAGATGTATTCTGATGAGGATACAACCACCATTTACACAGCATACATTATTCCTGTTTTTTCTTCAATATAAATTACTTCCCTGATGTTACCCACTCCATGGGTATCATGCAGGTTGCATTAATATTAAGTAGTGGTCCGTAAAAAAGGGCTCACTTTTTCAGTTAATAACAAAACATTTCAAGTAGTATAACTTCAGTTTTAAGACCAGGTATTTTCTGACCTGTCTTTCCAGAAATACTACCATTTGTTTAGTCTACACTCTACATGCAGAAAACACAATGATGATATCAGAAACCCAAGAGACATGGTCAATGTCTACTTCAATGTTAGGTTACCCCTTGCTTCTTGTATAGAATGCCACTGCTGAAATTCTCAGATGCAAAAACCGGCAGCTTCACTGTCAGCTGCATTGCATTCTTTCTTTGCTAAACTGCATTTCTTACATTTTTACTTATCTATTCACAAAATATTTTGCAGGTATTTGGAACAGCACTTCCCAAGTTAATGGGAAACTGTATAATATACTGTGCCATCCACTCTGAAAATCTGAAGTCTAGTTTCAGAGAGAGTTGTTCACCTCTCTTAAGCTACAGCTCTTGCAGAGGTTTGAACTCAGATTTCCAAGGGCATGAGTGATTAGAAAAGAACAGAATTAAGAGCCACAAAGAATAGCAATCACCACCAATAACTGTGTCTACTAAAGCACAGCACCAGTGAAATGTCATCTCAAAGTAGTTATGAGTTAGCATAACTAACTCATAGCAGTGTTCCAAATGTACAGGGAAATATATTTTCAGGCTAGTTTGCAGCAAAGTACTATCATGCATACTTTACTCCCAAACTAAGGATAAGGAATTTACTAAATTACAAGACAAAAATAGTTTTAAAATTTTATCTAAGCAAATACAGTACTTGTTGTGAGGTGTGTTCAAGGGCCACCACACCTTGCAATGGAAATTTTAACAGCTGATTTTTATCAACAATATAAAATGGTAAGACGGGTCAACACCAAATTTCTTTCAAATGTCAAAAATGGAAAGCTGTAACTGTAATACTGAGGACTTGCATAAACACCTAGATTACCAAGCAGTAATAATTTATGCTGTTAAACATTCAGAATGTACCAAGAATTAGACCTTTTTTTTATATATTACTGTATGACAGACCAAGTTGGCACTAATACTGAAAAAGTAAAGGCACATTCAATTACCATTTTAGCTACAAATTAATTGTAAGGTTAAGTACAGTACTATGCAGAAACCTCAGACTCCACAGTCATTGAAATGAGACCCTCCGGAATACAAAATATACCAATTCTAGAAAGCTTAACATGACATACTCAGAACAGTTACATTTTAAATGCAAAATTTTATCTTCTATTTTTAAAAGAAACTCTTATTTCATTGCATCTTTGCTGATAAATTACTTAGGCAATCATGACACAATAAAAACAATTCCAAATCTATCTCCCTATCCAGACCTGACAAATTCTTGTAATTCTGGATATACCTTATCTAATTATTTTAGCAATAAAGATTTTCTTTTTACCATTGATTCATCTTTTCCCTTCCCCCAAAAACAGTTACACTGTTATTGGCTTTTTGTTTGTGTTCATGTATTTATTTTTTTGAAAGTGTGCAACAAGAAAACTTCCTCACAATGTCAGCTGCCTCTCCCATACAGTTCCGTTAATGTTACTAAAATTGCTCACTTCCTCCAAATAAGACTTGAGGTGATTGATCTACACCCTTAATAAGTCTCAGTAAATGCTGAATCTTACATTCCACTTGATGGGATAATTTTAGTAACTCTAATCCCAGATTTTGCACCACAGTGAATGTTTCCCAATATAACTATTTCCCAATATAACTATTTAGACAGAAATTATTTTTACCCTTCTGACATGCCCAAAAGAAGGAGCTCTAAGTCCAAGTAATTATTCTTACTTTGGATCTTTAACGTTTTCCTGTAGGTCACTATTCCTTTCTATAAAAAAAGATGCTGTAATTTCATAGGTTTTACAAAGTATGTTTATGAAAACAATAATAGACTTTATCAAACAAAGCAAACCAAGTCCTTGACATTTATTTTTGAGATTTACTTCTCTGGACTACTGCTCAGCTGTTGATAAACTTCTCTTCTTCTAAACTGACCCCAAAACATTGCTTAAAACTTTTCCTCAAAGACTGTGTCAGTAAAAAATCAGAGATGTAAGATGTGGACTTGCATTACCAGACATTAACACTAACTTTTGACTTTTGGTACTTTGATTTTTAAAGCACTTATAAGATAGAAAAAAATCCAACCCAAACAAAAACCCAACCACACCACTTTAAAAACACCTTTAACGCTGACCACAAGGTCATCGTTCCGACTCCTCCCAGAAGATGGCACTGTTTATTATACAATACTATCTCCATAATCCCGGGTGCTTAGCGCTATTTGCACCACCCTGCTGGTGGTGCTTAAAATCCTGCCACCCCCTTACACCCTAAACTTGCAATAGTCCCTTGCCACATCTCCTCAAGGTGAAGTCAGAGAAGTGGTAAGAACCCTTTCAGACACGCTGTCATGTCCTACATTCTCTGGCATCAAGATTTCCACTTGAACATCATTCACCAATAGCCAAGACCTCAAATTTCCAAGAGCTGGGACAGAGCAAGAGGCACATGTTTTTTCCTGCCCTATCCTCTCTTCACTGCTGACAAAAGATCGAGTGAGGCACAGGACTGGATCTATCTTAGCCCCAGGCATTTCTGCAGGCACTCTGTTAAAGCAAAGAGAGGTTGCATCAGGGATACAAAGGCAATCTCTAAAGGGACAGTACATTACCTGTACAACAGCGGCAACAAAGCTCAGTCATTTGTACCGAAAGGAAGCTACTTTGAGCAAACATCAATAAGGTCACTTAAAGCCAGATTTGCATTACGAAGTTGAAGCTCCAGTGATTGCCTCAAACCTCTCATCCTTTTAAATCTCCAGTGCTTTCCTTCTATTTATCATGTACAATATAACATGCAGATTAAGAAAAAAAACCCCTTAAATGCTATCTTGAAACATAATTCTTTAAATGTAAGCACTTGCAACTGCTCACTGAATACAAATGCCAAAGTGATGCAAGTAGTAAATCCTAACAAAGCCAACTGTGCACAGACACCAGCGGTTACTGCTTTTTAAACACATGGCCCCATAGTCCTCACAGCAGCTCAACTCTACTTGGGCTAGCAATAAATAGACCTAAAGGAGACCAAAGGCCAGTGAGAACGATAATTTTAAGTAAGTTGCTTTCCAGTCTTTATAAGAGTAGGATTAATAGTCCAAGGCTCAGAACACTAGTAACAAATGCCACCTATGTGAAGTCTCTGGGGAAACACTTCCTAAATTTCAAACTAAATACACAGCACTGACCATACGAATGCCCAGTTAAAACCCCAGCTGTCTCCCCTACATTGGACAAAACTGACAGTTTCACACAAAAAGAAAAAAAATTAAAAAGACAAAGAAGAATATAATAAACTGGTATTAGTAAGAGCTTGTTTCATGTCATGAAATGGGGGGTTCAGATAAAACACTAATGAATTCTTTTCATTATCAGTGTCCAAGCTGTACTTCAACCTCAGATATTCCAAGATCCCCAGAAAATCCTTTTGTTTAACTAATGTTTCTGAAATTATTTTTAGGCACTGAAATGCCTCAGATTCTCATACACACACAGTACACCCTGAAGAGTATCATACGGTTTTAACTTCTTTTTTATGTACAAAACATACAGACAACTAGATACATGTGTTATCAAAGTGGAAGACAGACAGGCATGCAGACTCCAAATGTAAATGCCTTCACTGTGCTATGTTGATGAAGGACTTCAGAACATGACATCAGTTTACAGAGGTGACAGGTAGACTGTTAGATTCTGTGTACAGTCAACTCTGAGAAGCCTGTAACAAATTACAGTAGAGAAGAAAAGTACTATCTTAAAATAAAAGAAGGATCAAGCAGCAACATTTATGACAGAGCTGAGATCCACAAGCCAGCATCCAGCAGAGACAGTCAGTGCCCAGACTGCCCTGCCATACTGCTGCTGGATCCAAAAGGAACATGATTGCAGCTCACTTAATTCAGAAACCAAACAATCCTCTCATTTGTGTGATAGTAGGGATGCTGTATCCTGACAGAGCTCCTTGAGCCTCACAGTCTTACCCAGCTAAGTCTCAGAATGTACTCCAATTCTCATTAGTATCAACACTGGAAGGGAAGGCTTTCAACATATCTACACAAACGTGGATACTTTCCCCCTTATAATGCTCAGTTTCCTTTTAAAGTAACTGCTTTGGAAAACATAACAGATACATTTTTTTCCTAAATGCTTAAACAAATAGATATTACTTATTTAGGTGATATTAGTGACTTTCACTGATGGCTAGCTTCCAAATGTCACACATTTTGGCTGACATTTTTGCAAGCCTGTCACATCGCTGCACT